CCCCCCCGGAATTTAAAGCTGGATCCACCCCTGAGCGCCAGCTATCCCAAAGCTTATGTTGCCATGTTGTTATATTTATGGCATGTAATGTCAAGATAATGATTTTGTTTCCTTATCAAATCCATTGAGGAAAAACTACACATGGTGTTGACTAATTGGGAGTTAATAATTAACGGCAACGATGCATTACTCAATCGACCATTGACTTTGTTGATGGGTGGTTGATGGCTACCAACATAAATATTAATTTATATATTTTTTGTTTGAGTTTTGTATTTGTGGTTTGATATCGAATGCGTGATTGCATGGAGATTCATGCAATCCAGATTGAAGACTTTCTGGTTCAAAATCTCGGTACGGTAAGATACGGTATTTTCAAATGGCTAGTACGGTAATACGCGTTTGAAGTTGGCCACCCTGACTAGTTGACAAGTTGACATTCTCTTTCAGTTTGGAGCGTTTGGTTGTTGAGTGCGGTTCATGTGGTTTTTCCAGCGTTTTCCAGCGAAAAACCGTAATGTTTGCGGTCTTAATCGAATGTGAATGATTCGCTGTGTATAAGTCAAAAAGTGAAATGCACGATGGCAGTGATGGTTCCTACTATAAACGGACACATTCAGAACCATCTAACCAGGTCTTTGGAGCGGATTTTAGAGGAGGCGAACCAGAGCGGCGACCTCAAATTGAGCAATAGGAAGTTGAAGGACTTCCCTAAAGCCAAGGAGAAGTACAACCTAAGCGATACTGTAACTGCAGGTAAGGGGCTTGAGCCACTTGTTTTGGGCGTCAATCTACTGGGTTTTGTTGTTAAAAAACTGCTGGTATCAGGGTTTTTGCATCAGCAGATTTCCTGCAAACTCAGCGCCTGACTTGTTTGTTTTGTTACCGTCGCCCAATTAGTCGACTAAGTAAATCCATCTGGAAATTGCTTGATTGCCATCCCTTGGCTAAAAATAGCGAGCAAACTCACAGCCAACACCCAGCCGAAGAGAAAACCGCACAAGCCAATGTACAGTTGGCTTAGGTTAAGTCCCATATTGATCCCTTCAGTTCACCCTAATATTTGGGGTTCCTGCCGAAAACATTAAACACAGAGACTAATCATGTGTTCCCTCGTTTCATACACAGCAGGGGATAAAGCATTCATTACCAACTGGGTAATGAATATGGTTTTGCAATAGTTTTTGAATATTCAAAAGCTGCATTTGGAGGGTTTACACCATCAACCATTCATAGTCATGAATGCCTGATTTTATCAGCGTATGTGACTGGACTGCCAGTCGAGCCCGATTTTTAAATAGTCTTCTTTTCAGGTCAGGAAATCGAGTGATTGATCACAATGGCAAAGGTCAAAGGAGCAGGTTGGGCCTTTATCAGTGACCTTTCGGTACATTATAAGTGTGGCTCTGAGGGCTAAAATTAGACTGGCATTATTCGCCTGCTGCTGCAGGCAATCGAAGCCTTCTTGAAACACTCTGGGCTTATCTATGGCACGCCATTCACATCCAGGCATTAAGTTGTTAAGCGGCTTTTTAAGTAAACAACACAGCAGAAGAAAACCCGTCTTCTTGAGATTAATTTTTAACGACTGCTGTTTGATAAGACAATATCTGGTCTGGGCCTCGTAAAGGCTTTGTTGAAATCGACCTTTCCACCTGCCTGAACGGGCACGTGCAAGGTGTTTGCACCAGACGGCCAAGTGATTTCGTTCATTTTCTGTCGGTTGTTTGGGTTTAAAGCAGAATAAATAGCCGAAAATGACCACTGAAATAAATGCGTTTTTCTCGAATCCTCTTCCTCAGTTCCAGTCTGTTTCTGTTTCACTGAATGCTAATGAACCTGTGTGGGCTTTTCACTCATCTGTATCGAATCGGAGGCTCGATAAAGGACATCGTTGTAGAACACGACTCGATTAAATATTGTGGAAACATGTGGTTATATATGAGATGATGCAAGCGACAAGACGAGGGCTTGGTTTGTGATTTTCAGCCGGTTTTGGTCGGGGATTGCGTGGTTTTCGTAATGTAATCTTTGTCGTAATTGAAGCTTGATTTGCTCGCATTGAAACCGATGTTTGATGGTTTAGGCGTATAGTTCATTCCAATTCAAGATAGCAAAGCAAACAAATGTTCAGAGTGAATTAACAAATCGTGTATAAAGTGTGTACGTAATTTCTTGATTATTTTTTTTGCATTTTGCTGCAAAAGCATACAACAGAGCTTTGCCCCATTTCAGGTGCTTGATCAGATATCAGTTTTTACGACCTCTTGGAAAGATCTTATCCAGAGTTGTCTTTGCATCTTGCTTAAATTTCTAGACTTAAAAGTTAGAAGCCAAAATAGCCAATTTTAAGAAGCCGAACCTTTTCGAGCTTATAACTCGGAATCTGGAGAAAATATCTTAACAATCCTTAGAACCTTTGCGATAGAGCATCGCTAGAACTGTTAGTTTCTATCAAGGTTTAACGCAAAATTCCTAACCTATAAAAAGTTAGAAGCAAAACTGTGGACTTTTAATGGGCCGTCGAAGTTTAGGAGCGCAAAACGGCGAGAAATAGCTGAACAATCCTTAGAAGCTTTGCGATAGAGCATCGCTAGAACTGTCTTTTTCTGTCAAGGTTTAACGCAAAACTCCTAACCTATCAAAAGTTAGAAGCAAAACTGTCGACTTTTAACGGTCAGTAAAAGTTTACGAGCTCATAACACGCAAACGGCTAGAAATATCTGAACAATTCTTAGAATCTTTGCGATAGAGCATCGCTTGAACTGTCTTTTTCAATCAAGGTTTAACGCAAAATTCCTAACCTATAAAAAATTAGAAGCAAAACTGTCGACTTTTATCGGGCAGTCAAAGTTTACGAGCTCATAACACGCAAACGGCGAGAAATATCTGAACAATCCTTAGAAGCT